GGATTGCCTATGTGTAATCTCGTACATCAAACTAATAAAAATCGCCCGGCAATGTAAGCCACCTTAAAAATAAAAAAAAAAAAAAAATAAATTTAATTTACTTTTAAGACAGGATATTTTTTGCCATTTTTATTAATGTCTTCAATAATGCGAAAATTTCCAGTGGCAAGTACTACATCTTCATTTTCAAATTCAGATAGGCTTAACTCTTGATCCAAATCATGGGGATAAAACCCAACCAAGGTAACATTCAGAGAAGAATTTAGACTTCGGGATCTCACAATACCTGAAGCTTCGATAATAGAAAGGTTTTTAGTGTTATAAGTTTTTTTATTATAATTTATTATGTAGCATAGAACAGTAATGGAAGCTGGCATTTTTTTTAATTTTTTTTTTTTTAAATGTGTGAGAATAAGATATATATATATATTATCAAAAGTACTAAAAATTGATGTTATTTATTAATTATTATAATTCATAGAACCGTAATGGAAGCTAGCATTTTTTTTTTAAGCGTGTGAGAATAAGATATATATATATATTATCATAAGTACTAAAAAATCGATGTTATTTATTAATCAATCATTTGCAATTCTATGTTTTTTTTTTTTTTACAAGTGTAAAAAATTTGAGCTAAGATAATAGTATATTTTAGAAACCTGTTAATTGAATAAAGGTGTTCTAAAAGAAGATCGTATGGAAGTAATCAAAGGGTGCATATATTTGTATGAGAATTTTTTCGTTACAAATGTAAAGGATTTGAAGTAGAACAGGGATAAGATAATAGCATATAATGGCGTATTTCAGAAACTTGTTAATCGAATAAAAGTGTTCTAAAAAAAATATCATATGAATAAACGAAAAGTGCATATATTCATATGGGAATATTTTCTAAATTTTTTTTTTCAAAGTTGAAGTAAACCCAATTTTTAACAGGTTTAAATTAAAATAATTATATAATAATCGATACAAGAATTTAGACAATTAACCTGTTTATGGTTTACTTTAAATAGATTATTTCTTGTTTGATTTTTTTTGTGCGAAGTAAGAAATTTAGATAAATTTTTCAGACCCATCTTACTTTACTAATAATTAGTTTATCGATAGTCTATTTAACTGATATTATATCAAGTAACAATTTATTAAAAATATATAATTAAATGCTAATATTAACCCTATGTTATGTCAGTTAAATGAATTTTCGGTGAAATAACTTGGCAGCACCAGAATTTTTTTTTTGCAATATATTATTTTTATTTTATAATTAGTATTATTTTAGATTTTCTTTATTTAGTTAGCTAATTAATAATTAATTAGGATATAGTATTAGCGTTAGTGAGTATGATCCACGTGGGTTTAAAACTATACATATAAAGGTATGATTCTCGTATAATGACAACACTAAAATGCTATATCGATATATATGCATGTATTATAGATTGTGTGATCACTGAACTAACTGGTTTGTTCAGGAAAGTAACTATAATTTCTGGAATCTATCTCTATTTCTAAAACATATGAATTAGGTAATAAATTGGGCATCTCTGATCAGATAATCGAATGAGGAAAAAGATTATCTCTTCGTCTGTAGATTTTCACATGCTACTATGTTTTTTTTTTCCAGGCAAATTTGCCTGGAATACCATTTAAGAGATACCAAGAAGTTTACAAGTATTTCAAAATCTTGAATTTCGTTATTAGTTATTTATGTCTCATAATCACATGATTTTATTTGAATATAGAAATGATTATTAAATTCTCACTACGATCATTTCATTTATTGTCTTTGACGATCAGTGATTATCAATTAATCTATCCGATAAAAAATTCAATAAAAAAAAACAGAAAAATAAGAAATATTGAAGTATGTTTGTAAGTTTGAATAGGAAATTAATAATAAAAAGGCTTTTATTCATTATTATTTCGATGTTGTATTGAATTTTTTTATTCCAAGCATAGTTACTATTTTTATTTCAATTTTCAATTTTCAATCTTCAATTTCAATTTTCAATTTCAATTTCAACTTTCAATTTCAATTTCAACTTTCAATTTCAATTTCAATATTAAAAATATAAAAATATTTCTTATAAAAATGGCGAATGAGATATTTCCTTACTTGGAATTACAAGGAAATTTTGACTGCAGATCTCATGCACAAAGATAATACAAGCTACAAAAAACTGAATGATTTAATCTAAATGTAGTAAAAATCTAGTTTGCACTATATATAACTATTTATACCACATTCTCATATATGGCAAGATGAGCTGGGCAAAATTGAATATCTTTAATGATCAAACACTTAGGCCCTAAAACGATCCAAACTATTACAGCATTACTTAATCACTGTTTAACAACACAAACAATTCTAAATAATAGAAAAATAGTCATATTTTTTCTATCCTAAAAAAACCTACGTTTGATAGTGACCTAAATAACATATATCCAATTAGCCTCATCAAACATATCAAAAAACTTTATACTAAAATTTTAACTACTTAACTTAACTTAATCCTCTTCTTATACAAAATTCTCAATCTATATAACTATATAGCTTTATCTGGCAATAGTATAAATATTTCTATACATATTCTAAATAATATTATTGAAGACTCTTACTATAACAAAAAAGAGTTATAGCTCTTGTCTCAGGATATGAGCAAAGCTTATGACTTAGTTAACTTAGACCTTCTTAAACTAGCTCTTGAACATATTCAATTTCTATTCCAACTATATAATATTATAACTAACCTATTAACTAACTATACAAACAGAGTTATTACAAACTTAGAATTAACTGATTCTTATAATGTTAATAATAGTATTAATTAAGAAGAAACAATCACTCCTCTACTATGGCATATCTATTACAACCCTCTTATTAACAAAATCTCTACCTCTTTCTAAGGCTATACAATATCTGCAATCTGCAGAGATTCTATAATTACTCACAAAAACTATAAACTAAAAGTATCAATTTCTGTTTTAGCCTATATAGATAATATACTCTGGATTACAAATTCAAAGCCAAACCTAGAATTAATAACATAAGTTGTAGCAACTTTTTATCAAATAGCTAATATTCAAATCAATTCTCTTAAATCTGTTCTTATTACAAACTCTAAAATACTCTCACATTTAAACTTCATTAACTCTTCTCTTCAACTACAACAATCTAATATTCTATTCAAATTTTTTGAATATTGGTTTACTCTAAATAGTAAATAAACAAAATAAAATAAGAATATTACTAACAAAATATCTAATTTAATTAATACATTTAGAACTAAACATATAACTGATAAGCAAGTTTGCTATATCATCAACTCTGTAATAATACTTATTCTTGAATATTATATATTTAATATCATCCTTTCTCAAACAATATGTAACAAGCTTCTTGGCTCCTACTTTACTATTGCTAAACATAAATTTAACTTAGCACTAATAACCTCTAACAGTACTTTACTTAATTATAATATTTATAGTATCAAAAATATTTGAGACATTCAACTTTAGCACTATATCTCCAACTTCTTTATTAGACTTTGTAATACTGAACTCCTAGAAACTACTACACAAATTAGACTTTAACAACTTCAAAACAATCTATGGTATACTACTAATATTCTCCAATATCCACAACCTCAAATAGATAGTTCTAACAAAAAATCTACAAATTTCAAAATTATTCTACTTTTTCATTATTTAAATATTTCTATTTCTACTAATATTAATAATAGACAATCAATTACTTACTCTGATCTATATACACTATTAGAAAAAATCCTCTAACACAATAATTCATATAACTTCTTCAAACACTAACTACGAACTAAGCAAATTCTATTTTTAAAACAACTAACCTCTGCTGATAATAACACACTCTTAGAGTAAATTCACATTTCACTAAGATTAAACTACTTACCTAAAGGCTGCAAATCTACATAGTTTACTACTTTAGAATCTATTATATTAGATAACTCTTCCACTAGAACTATCTCAAGCTAACTTCAACTATTACTAAACAACTCTTTAGCCTATATAACCAGTTACTTTAATACAAGAGCTAAACCTTGGCTAATAACTTACTCATTACTCTCATCAGAATTTGTTATGGACAAAGCCTGATGATTATATCCAAAGAGGAATACTATATCAAGAAGTTACTAGATACTATAACCTATCTCTAATACTACTAATCTATATCCCTACTCAAATCCAATATGTTTTCTCTACTCAGACTATAATCTAAACTCTAATAGAGTTACTAACTCCTGTATTCTAGAAGTCTTAGCTACTCTCTCTACAAAATTTCTAAGATGCAAAACATATCAAGACTCATCTAACAAACTCAAGCTTAATACTAATTATTTAGATTTGTTATACTCTATTGCACTTCATAACCTATCTATTATTTCTCCACTTTCAATATTACAACTAAGTTTATTTGCAGTTTTTATAATTTTAAATCAAATAATACTATCTAACAACTTGAACTAATTTACTAAACCAACTGTTTACAACAACAATTTACCTTTTATACAGATAGATCTGTTGTTAATATTTGTACTGATCAATACTCTATAGGTATAGGATAAGTTCAGATTCACAATAATCAGATTCTTCACAAATTCTCAGTACAAATTCAACTTTGGCTATCTTTATACAAAGCTGAACTAATATCTATACTATCAGCTATATCTACTTACTTGTACAATAGCCAAATTCAAATATTTACTGACTCTTTATCAATTATCTTCAAATACAACAAACTTACTCAAAAACTACTTACTTTATCTCAAACTCTCTCACTAAAATATTGGCCTATCTGAGTTACTCTACTTAATTATATCAAATCTTTTAATATTACTATTATATTTCACAAAGTTCAGGATCATAATAACAATATATATAATGATAATACTGACTATTTAGCAAAACACCACTTACTCCTATTCTTCTTGGAATTAAATCATACTAATATCTATAACCCTTACTATATTTTACAATTCAAAAACTTTCCTGTTGAACAACCTGTATACAAACTAATCAAAAATATATGCAATTCTCATATTATAGTACTATGGTCTTCTCAACAAAAAATACAAAATATCTTATATATCTTTAAATATATTGACTAGAATACAACATAGCTTTTTTTCAATAATAACCAAAAACGGTTATCAAACTTTACTACTTTCTGACTTAGCTACCAAAAAACCTTTTGTATTAAAAACTTATTAAACGAACTCTAACACTATCACACTTATATTAGCTTTATCCTAATATATTTAAATACAATAACTGTTTCTCCTGTAGTAACCAAGAGGAGCCTCAACATTGGCTTTTCTGTTCTAAATCTAATCTATATATATTACAATACTTCAAGTAATTCGAGAATTCTTTACAACAAAACTACTTGATCTCTTCACATAAACAACTCTAGAATTACATAACCAACTAATCTTTTTCCCATCTTTTCAACACTAGCAACCCTTTTAAAACTATCTAACAATTGAAACTATTCTCTAAAGATTTATACCATTCTCACTCATTGAATTACTCTCATCATACATAGATACTCACAAAATTGCTACTAAACTCAGTATCCAATTCTTTCTCAAACTTTCAAACAATATCTATACACAAATTTGAAAACCTTACTGTACCAAACTTGCAAATGGAAAACTCAAAAAAAAATATCTAATCACCTTTAACAAACTCCTTGCTCAAAACACTCTATATATTCAAATCATTTTAAAATAGGATATACTTATATATGTCTATGTGATCAATCTGATTAACTATATAACAACAATAACTTATGCCTACTACTAGAACTAGCACATTACAAAATCAATATTTGGTCTACTTTGTGGGCTAAATATAGTTATCTATTTAACACAATTATAAATATCCAAATCTAGATAAGTTTTTAACTGCTCTAGTAGGTTTAGGTTGCAGATAAATTAGATAGTTTACGATTTATAATCTGAGTCTTATTCTAGCAAACAAATTTGTAAATTTGGGAAACCTCTTTATAGAAGATAAAGACAAAACCTCACCTTAAAAAAAAAAAAAAAAAAAAGTAAATACTTTGTTAAGTATTTAATAAATAGAAGGTATTTTGTTGAGTTTGTGTTAAAAGTTTGGTTTAGAGAAGAGGTTTGATTTGGATATTGTTAATATATACTGAGTAAATTAGGAAGCCTTTAAATATAGTTTCTGATTATAGAGAATATTTTATATTTGAGAGAAAAACATAAGAAATATTTTTTAAATAGTAGACTAAACATATATAGACATAGTATGAGTGAACTATAATAGAGATTTGTTGATTAGAAGGATTTAGATTTGTAGAAGATGTTGCAGAGTTTTAGTATCATAGTTGAATAGAAATAGAGAAAGCAAAGATATATTTTGTTTGATTAGTAATCTAAAAATTTGGTCTTAAAGTTTTTAGTATTTTTTGAAGATATATAAATATAAACAATCAATTCAAATCAAATTTTTTTAAAAAAATAATACTAATCAACAAATAGTACAATACCAAAATTATACAAATAAAATTTTAAAAGAATTAATTAACTTATTCAAAAAATTTAAAACCATAATGATTTCAATACAACTTAGAATATAATTAAAGAATCTCATTTCAAAGCATCAAAAAAATATATTCTATATAAAAAAATCAAATATCATAACTTTAAAACTTTATTCAAATTTAAATCTTCTCTTTTTCATCTTTAATATTAAGCTTTAATTAAAAAAGTATTGCTAATTTTAATTGAGAAAGATTTTTCCTATATGATATTAGTCAATAAATTTATAAGATCAGAAATAATATATTATATATTAAAAACAAAAATAATTTTAAAAAAAATGCTAATATCTCAAAATTTCACCTATAAAACTACTTTTTGAGTTCTAATAAAAAAAATTTCTTGCTAAATTTTACATATACTAATGTCTAGATAAAATCTTAAACTATATTCTAACTCTAAAATAAAAAAAAAATTTTTTAAAATATAATTTATTATATTATATAGAGAAAATCTTCTATAGTTAAATATAGTTATTTTCTAATTAAAATAAGAAAATCTATTAACTCATCTTATCTATGATCTTTTTTTTTAAATTATTATAACAAATTTTAATATAATATCTAAACTTCTTCTTCATAATAAAACAACAAAATCTATACTTATTTAAACTATTAAAAAAGAAGTGCAAAACCTTAAAAATATAATTAAGCAAGAAAATAAAACTTATTCTCAATTAGAAATCTAACAAAAACTACTCAAAAGAAATCAAAACTTCTCAGAAAACTCTAAACTCTTCTTTAAAAAAGTATTAAAATAATTCAGTAATAATACTAATATTAATAAGCTACTATTAAATAAAATACTACTTACTAATTCTGATGATATCAAAAAATCAATTCAACAACACTTTTAAAACTATTTTTCTGAACAATCTCTTTCTCCTATTCTATATGATTCTGAATTCTATATATTTTACTAACAAAACTCTTTTTTAGAATCTCAATATCAAGATTTATTAACAGAAATTTTTCATAATAAGTAGTTAAATATTGTTAACTAACTTCCTAATCAAAAGGTTACAGAATCTTTGGATATCAACTAAGAATATATAAAACTTCTATTTCCAAAAAGTCTTACAACTCTAAGAAAATTTCTCTCTAAATATTTGTTACTTTATCAAGTCTTTTAGATTTTACTTTAAATCAAATTCAATCTATTTTTCTAATTGAACTATTTGGGATCTTTGCTAAGAAAATCAGTCACAAGACATATGTTTTACTATGTCCTATAACTCAATTTTCCTAGCAAAGATCCTATTTAACAAAAGTTTTTACTAAATACTTTGATTATATTATTAATAAAAACAACTTCTTAAATAATTTAAATTTTGTAGTTACTCCAAACTCTTCTACTTATACACCAATACAAATTCTAAACAATATAATTAAATATTATAAACAAACTAACTAGGAAGCTTGAATTCTTTTTCAAAACTTATCTAAAACTTTCAACAAAATCAATATTAACTGACTAGCTGATTTTTGTAAAAGAATTAGAATACTATAAATATCTATTAACTTTATTACCAACTTTCATCAAAACTATCAAGCATATATTATTACTACTTATAACTTAACAAAACTAATAAATCTTTTCTCTGATATTGAACAAGAAGAAATATACTCACTTCTTCTATAGAAAATATATTATGAACTAATACTATCTTATATTAATAACAAATACCAAAACTCTTTTCTTAAAATCTAATCTGCTTCTCCTATTGAACAAACTTTTCAAACTATTCCTCTACCTATTACTATTTTACTACTTGCATTGTGAAACTTCTTCTTCACTACAACAACTCCTTGTTAATATCAATAAACTTTACCAACTAATAATATGCAAATCAATTTTTCTAAATCTGATCTCCTTTATATAACTCCAAAAAAATCTAAAACTTCTAACTTTATAAATCAACTACTATCACAAATAAATTTCAACAATATATAAAATTAAAACGCGCAAGATTCAATTTTGATGGAAATCGCGACCAAATAAGATGGGAATCACGACTAAATAGTATTTTGAAAGGTGACCCGGATCGGAACTGCATGTACTAAGTGGCTTTTTTTTCTTGCAGGACCTTTATATATAAGGAAATTTTATATATCGATTAAATGCTATTATCTCAGGATTTACCGATTGTAATCACATAAGTTTGGTACCACTCGATTCATCTCATCGATACGAATCGAATGGTGCCAAAATCATCCGATTACAATCAGTAAATCCTGAGATATCGTAAGTGCGCCGAATTAGGCACCGCGCCGAATTAGGCATATCTACCTTAGCTTGAATAAGCATGGATTTCTCCATATTGTTGTGAATAAGAAGTTTAGGTAAAATCTTTTTATTATGTAGAAATTTGGTATAGTACAGGATTAGTCAGTTATAGACTGGCAATAGCGACAAATGATAATTCTCTAAAAAAAACTCATAATAGAAATTTCAAAAGTTAAATGTGCATCTGGTTTTATTGTGTCTCATTTAGGAAATTGTAAAAAATAAACCTGGATCGCGTTAATTAAATCAACTAATATTAATGTTAACATATTATTTTCAAAAAAATTATTTACGTAACTACCTATCTCAAATGAAGTAACGGTTAGAATTATTGATCAAGAAATTTGAAATTACAGTTATTTTCATAACGATCGAATAATTTAATATGTGCAGATCTCTTAATTAAAGCATTACTCTAAAATTTTCAGATATTACACTTGACCGTTATCGTTTATTCTATATTTATAAATTGATTAATTAACTTCTTCCATGTAATTGGTGCATAAATAATAGAAATTGTCCCTCCAACTTTTTTATATAACTTTTCAGTCAACTCATTTACTTCCTTACTTGAAAATACTATAAATATTATTACTAAATTATTATTCATTTCTAATTCTTTTAACTCTAATGCTGCTTTTATAGCCTCTTCTTCATTATTTTTATAAAGACTAATAAATACTATGTCATAAGCGGATCGATTATATAATCCTTTATAAACCTTTGCTGCAAAAATACCTTTATCAAATGTATCAAATGCATCAACTTTTTCGATCCTTTTAAGATATATTAACATTGCATTTCTCACACTTTCAATTGGGTGAATTATTAGTACCCTTTTTTGTCTTATGACATGAGGTAATACGTAATTTATTTGTTCATCAAACTTTGTCTCTAATAACGAGGAAGTTGAAAATTTTGAAAGTGTTGATGTAATCGATGATGATAGCTCGATATTCCATGTAAACCAAAATTTACTTCCTTTTCCCAACTGACTTACTGCATTAATTTCTCCTCCATTAATTTCTACCAAACTTTTACAAATCGAAAGACCAAGTCCTGTACCATCCTGCTTTCTAGTTATTGATGTGTCACCTTGCGAAAATCTTTTCCAAGCATGTTTTATATATTCAGGATCCATGCTATCATTAAATAAATTATTAAATGGAATTTATAATAAAATATAATGTATATAATCATAAAAAATAACCTACGTACCCAATGCCGGTATCGCATAATTCAACCAACAGATTTCCTTTTATAATAGTTTGACCATAAGTTGGACTCTCCTTATGCATATCAATTACATTTTGTGATTGCATTGAAATTGTCAATATGATTTCTCCTTTTTCAGTAAATTTAACTCTAGATAAGTTAAGAATAAATCAATTATGAACAATAAAAAAAATCAAAATAAGTAAAATATAGTTACGCATTTGATAATAAATGATACAGAACTTGTTTCAGCCTGTTTAATATATAAGAGAAAGTAAGTAATATTACAAATTTCATATATAATATTATAGTTTAATCACCTATCAGGATCGCTCTTAACATATCTCGGAAATCCATCTACATCACAATTTACAATTAGCTCGATATTTTTAGCAATAGCTCTTTTTCCAAATGCCTCAATTATGTCTTCAAATAATTCCAATAAATCAAATGTTCTATTTATTAGGATGATTTTTTGTGCTTCTAATTTTGCCGCATAAAGAATATTATTTACTATAGATAGTATGGTATCTGAAGCATATGACACAATATTAATCATATCTTTTTGATCGGTAGTTAAGTTAGTACAATCAAAGGAAGAAAGAATTCCCACTATTGCTCCTAGTGGCGTTCGCAATTCTATGATAAAAAATAAATTAGCGTAATTTCAGTATAATAAAAATTTTAGTAATATGCATAATAATGTACCGTGAGAAGTATTTGCTAATACTTGATTTATAATATTATTTGCAGTTTCAATAGCTTTTATTTGAATTTCCTTTGCAGAATTCTCCTCTAGTAAGCTTTCATGAGTAATAGCTAAACTTATTTGATTCGATATTTGTTGTACTAATTCTATTTCAGAATCAAGCCAAATAGAATTTGGAGATCTATGAAGTTTTATCCATCCCCAAAGATCATTCTTCAACTTTATTTCTACTGATAATATGGATGCATTCTTATGAACATGGTCACTATATTTATCTAAAAAAATCTCTATTCCTGAATTATTATTCAAAAATTCTGGTGAATCAGTTATTTGAGATTTACTCTTATTATTATCACTAATTTCAATAAGTGGGCTTGTTAAACTTATAGAATCTTCATATATAGCAATTATTCTATTGCTCATAATTTTAGATCGTTCATTTTTTAAAATAATAAATACTCTTTCACTTGTTATTCTATGATAAATTTCTTTGACAACATATTGCAAAGTTTCTTTTAGACCTAATCCAGAAAGAATCTTATCTGTTATTGAAAGAAGTAATTGCTTTGTTTCTTCTTGTTTACATTGTTGAAATAATATTTTACGACGAAGTAGTGAGAGTTCAATATTAGCACGAATACGGGCAATTAATTCTCGAGCAGAAAAGGGTTTTGTTAAATAATCATCTGCTCCTTTATCTAAACCTGAAAAAGTAAACGTATTAAAACAGATAAGGAAACAGAATAATCTATTAATAGTAAGTGTTCTAATGGTTTAAATTACCTGTGATTTTAGATTCTTCACTAGCTTTTGCTGATAATAATATTACGGGAATTAATTGAGTTTTTATATCAGATCTTAACACTTCTAATAATTGATATCCATTCATATTTGGCATCATGACATCTACAATTTCAAATTATATAATTTAATAATTATATTATTTGTAATATTTAAGATATAAATATTATAATTATATAATTTGCTTACCACTAAGAATTAGATCAGGTAACTTGGGAAGCTTTTCTAAGACTCGTAAAGCTTCTTGACCGTCGCAAGCACGACGTATATCGAATTCTTTTAACAGATCTGATAGATAATCTCTATAAATATAGACAGTAATAAGAATCAATTTATAAAATGCTAATATAACCGAATAAAGAAATCATTATATGTAGTTATCTGGAACGTAGTGACCAATAAAAATTATTACCGCATATCAGCATTATCATCAACAAGTAAGATTTGATATCTTTTTCTAATAGCTGAGTCATCTGTAGAAGGATCATTAGTAGATAGATTAAACATAATCTCTTCTGTTAATATTTTATCAATATTATTAATATTCATATTCCAATCATTTGTTAATGAATGATCCACTATATCATCTTGTGCTTCAGACGTATTATTTTTTATCCATTGAGAACTTTCTTCTAAATAAAGTTGCCTATTAGTGTATAATTCTCGACCATGACTTATAGGATTTTCAACTTCATTAAAGCGTATTTGATTTGCTGGTAAGTGCATACATCCTATTGGAAACCAGCATTTAAATGTTGTCCCCTGATTTACTACTGAAGTAACAGTGATATCTCCACCATGGCGTATAATAAATTCTTTAACTAGTGAGAGCCCTATCCCAGTACCCTCGTGACTACGTGAACCTTGAGATTCTACACGATAAAAGCGATTAAATATATTCGGAAGCGCAATTTTCGGAATACCAACTCCTGAATTAAAATAAATAATTAATCCGGATGTATAATAGTGTAATTAATTTAGTGAGAGTATTATTATTAACCTGTATCCGATATTTCAAAGACTATTAATCTTTTATCGTCTTTATAGTCAATATACAGACGAATGGTTATGCGCCCATTCCAAGTATGCTTTATTGCATTCGAACCTTTAACAAAAAAAAAGCATTTCAGTAAATTAAAATCTACACATTTAATTAGTAAACTTAATAAATAAAAAAAAACAATTTTCTCTCTTTTTTTTTAAAGACATCTTTTAGAAAGCCTTACATAGATTAAATATAATTATTTCGTACATCTCATGATCTAAGTAAACATTATCGCCCACGGCTTTAATAAATTCCTCAGAGTGTGGAATATCGATAATATAATCCAAACCTAATGATTTGGCCATATTTTCAAAATCCGAAACTAATTCTCGAGTAAATTCAGCTATATTTGTTTCACGATAATTCGCTTCTAATTGATCGGTTTCCATGTTTGAAAACTATATAAGACGTGAATTGCTTTAATATAGTGTTCCCAAAAACTGAATATATTGAAATTATTATTAAAAATCATGATATATAAATGCTTACTTGTAATAAAGTATTAACGAGTTTAAGTAATCGACGGGAGTTACGTCGTATAGTTTGAAGATACGACATAATTGGCGCTTCTTGCGGACATTCATTAATTACGTCGTCAAGTGGTGAAAGCATTAGGGTTAAAGGTGCTGTCAATTATGTAAAAAAGATTATTTATTTCGCAATATATTTATAAAAGAATATATAATAAATTAATACTTTTTAATTCATGACTGATGCCTTGAAAAAACATGATTTTTTGACTATTTAAATTAATTAAAATATTAGACGATTTCTTTTCCTCTTCTACCGAATTCCCTTGCTGTAAATATGCATTCACTTGAGTTTTAACTAACTAATTAATTAAAATGTATTAAAGTTTTATTTTTTAACTTAATACAGAAATTAATAGTGTGAACTTTTGAAATACCTGTAAAAATTCCATATACTGCTCATCAAGCGTACAACGCCGATTAATACCACAAATCAATACAACTGATAAGACCTGTCCTTTGCAAGAAGAAATTTTTATTGGTAAGAGTACGGCTTGTGATTCATCTTTTAAAAGAACTTTTACATGTTGTCCATCCTTTATTGCAAGGTATATTGGCCAAGATTCGCATTTTAAGAACGAATAAGTTGCTGTTGTCCGTTTTAATTCTATATATGTATTATGGCTCTTATTAGAGTCTTTATTTAAGTTAATTAATTCATGGGTTTCTGGAAAATACTCGGGGAAACGCCTTTTATTTTTACTATTATCATCAAAAGTTGTAGAGATCAGGCGAGCAATTAGAGATTCAGAAGCAGCAGTTGATTTATGTTCGATAAAATAAATCAATGCATAAGGAATATCTGCATTATTGTCTCTTAATGTATTCGTTATAATACGGCAGGCACTTTCTAATGACTTAACATCTTTAAGAAATATAATGTTAATTTGAGCGCGTTAACAAATAAAATCCCATAACAACGTGTATATAATTATAACAATTATTAGATTTATGAGTACTAACCAGAAATCTGATGTCCAAATTTTCCAAGTAGACTTAATCTTCGAGTATTCAAAACTCTTTGAGTAGTTTCTAGTGTCAGACTAAATATACCACAGAAAGTGCCATCTTTTTTGAAAATCGGGCTCATTGTATAATCAAAGTAAGTCTCTTCAATATATCCATCACGTTGTAATTCGGCGCAATTATCTTTTTTAAATATGCCTTTTCCTTTTTCTCTTACACTACATGTATTAGTTGTAATTCGAAGGAAGTTTAGTATTACTAAATGAAAATTTTTTAAGATTATTACTTGTAATACCTCTCAAATTCTGGTATCATAAAATGAGCTGCTTCGTAAAAACCTTCAATTGTTGGCTTTCCAAAAACTATTTAAGATAAGAAAGGATTTTAGTTTTGAAAACCTTATTATAAACATATGACATAAGTATATAATTAACCGTATGGATGTTTCGCTTTAATTATTGGTATGCAAGCTATATAAACGAATATAGTTGGTTATTTGAAGTAATAAAATAGACCAGTATATAAATTTAAGATCGTTTACCTTCATTATAAAATTGGTTCCAATCAGGAGGAACAAAGATGGTAATGGGAAACGCAGATTGAAGGCATATATTCTAACATTAACATAAGATTTTTATATATTACGTTAAAGATTGTTATAATAAAAATTCAACCCCTAAAAAAATAAACATGTTTATGGATTACAAAGGCAGTTTTGATTGTAGGATCCCACGAATCTATAGGACCTAGTGAAGTTGTTGACCAATCATAATTGTAAGCCATGTTGATATGGTTTGAACTCTCATTCTCCTCGTTATAGGTCAAAGGTAGCGACATACTTTATAAAGCTAGAAATGAATGATAATGTATCAAATATATATATATATATATATATAAACAATCAAGCCTTACCGTACAAAAGAAAACAGTTAAAATGTTTTTATCATGTATAGTAGTTAAACTAATTTTATGTACGTATGTATTGTGTAATACCTATTTTTTTTACATAATCAGAAATTTATGCATAGTAAACTTATGTAACTACTGTATGTAGGTACCATAAAATTATAATTACGCAGATTTTGCATTAATGACGTCCGGCTAAATAATAAATTCTGGGACACCCTAAAAAAATTTGCTGAAGTCTACTCAGCAGAATACGATAAGCTATTGTCGTGTTTGAAAACGGCGAGTCAGTCGCTCAATCTTCAAGCTTTTCGTTTAACGTAATAAGATAACTTATCGAATGAGGCGTTTAGATTTGGCAAAGGGAATTCCAAGGCTTCGGTTATCGCTTGTGTCACGTTACTTCTCTCTTATCACAAAGTTCGTTGAGTTTCTTAACCTCCTTAATCTACTAACTTAGATCGATTCTCGGTAAGTTCTCTCTTTACTCAACACAAACGATTCGGGTTTACTCTTACTAAAGAGTAATAACTTGCAGCGTAACGTTATACAAGGTATAAATTTATACAATTAGCGAAAGATCGGGTTGGAATTATTTAGCGAAGTTATAGGTCAGAGGAAGGTTTGGGACTTTATATTATGGACAGATAAGTTTATCGGCAATGTGATTTATTATTTGTATCGTAAAATCGATATTGAAACCGGTTACAGCGGCGTAACCTACGGTGGGCTTTACTGGAAAGAGGCGTGTTAGGTTTGGCGAGTTGGTTGGTTCCGTAGGTAGGTCTTTCTCCTATCTGAGTAACTCTATGCTTTCTTAAACCTCAGCTATACCATATTACTTTGGGTAAGCTGCACAGTTGTACCAAATACGTTAGGATAACAACTGGACATGGTATCAAACTAACGAGAGTCACGTGAGCACTATGTAACGAGAAGGGATCTTTGGGTTAGGGTAATTTAGCGATATTTATTTGGGATTTATTATGAGTTATTTATTTATGTATTATTTAGATATCATATAATGTAAGGGTCAGATTATTATTTTTTTAAAGCAAAGTTATGAGATGTCTCTCCTAGAGATGCAGGCGAATTGTCTCAATGATGCCGTAACATTGCCGTAACATGCAGTAACTATATTAAACAATTATAAAAAGTTACAACACATGTGCCGTAACTTTTTATAATTGTTTAATATAGTTATGCATGTTACGGCATGTTACGGCAATGTTACGGCATCATTGGGACAATTCGCCTGCATCTCTAGTCTCTCCTCTAGGGCCTTCACGGCCTTTATTTATAATGAAATTCTTTATTTACATTCGTGGGGCTACTCTGCCATTAAGCGCTATGCTGGCTACATCGCCCTTTCCCTCCTTACTGACCATAACTTCCATCTAGCCCTCCTGGTCAGAAATGCCTCCCCCTGCCTTGTTGTAGCCGGAGCTGCCAGTGCGGCACGGGAAGCCTTAATTTGGAGTTTCCGAAGTCACGCGCCACGTGACTTCGCCGGGTAACAATATCTTTTTATTGAAGGGCAAAAATGCTTGCTTATATGGGTTATGGTTGTGATGGCATTTGGACTAGTTTTGGCAATTAGACAAAAATTTCCAAAACCTATGCAAAAAACCAAAAATTATTTTTCGACATTTTGACCAAAAAGCTGCAAAGTCATATGATTATATTTATAGTTGTTAGGCGAAACCTAGAGGTTTCGCCATTGGCGAAAGGCGAAACCTAGTTTCGACTTTCGCCAAATAAATTTTAAAATGGCGAAATGGCGAAACTGGCGAAAGATGACGAAACTTGCTTGAGAGGGTGACATAAAGGTAACATGAGCTGGAGTAATAAGCGAAGTAGTAAATATAATAGAAATCTGTAGATAACTAGATATGGAACACCTCCGGTACATATGAAAGCTAGAATTAGAAGGTCCCAGTTCTGTAAAGAGTTGGATATTATCTAGAATATGCATAAAAACTCGAATTAGCAGAAAGCACTAAGCTAGTAGTGCAATCGCATATCTGAGTACAAGAGTATATCAACATTAAACATCAGCTAATGCAAACATAAGTTGGAAGTAGTACTAGGTATTATAAACCTAGTTGGAAGCAACTTTAATTGCAAAACATAACCTATACTCTACCAACACATAGGAGTATCTAGTATTGATAGTCGCACAGCATATGAACACAGTTGTATATTATAAAACAATAGCATCTCCATAATTGGAAAAAGATATAACAAGTTGCGCTTAGGCTTTAGTTAGTAATATACTAACTAGGAGATATGGAATTAGGCAGTGAAACCAGCTAGATACCAAACAGGGAGTTATCTGTGAGGATTGATAATGCTTCATGTAGCCCATGATATCTGTCTAGTAAGATTTATTTAAAAAAATAAGACTATGTTTTAAATTACTTTGTAAAAAAAGAGTTTTGACAATTTTATTAGATAAAGTTTATTTAAATACTAAAAATTAAGTTGATAAAATAGTCAATCAAGCTGAATATTTAAGTATTATTAGTGATAAATAGTAAATTATTTTATTTTATTTATTTTTATTTATAATAAAAACTAAAATATATCAATACTCTTTCTGATGATCCTTTTTTCCAAAAATTCGAAAAAGCAAAAAAACAAAAATTTTATTAGAGATGATGAAGAAGACTCTTTTATAACAACGGTTTTTACAAAAGTCAACTAGGTTTCTACTTCTCCATAGAGACTCCTTTGTATATTCAGCATACAAGCTAGAAGAAATATTATATAAGATAACTAGCAGAAGGTGGCATCCTTATATAAAAGATTTTAGTAAAGAACTTTTAAGACAAAGTTCTTTGTTGACGAAGTTAATAAAAGAAGGCTTAAGTAGTAGGAGAACAACCAAATATTTTTTTACATACTCCTTAAAGTCTTGGAAAACAACTATATACTGCAAGCTTTTTTTCACCAGCCTTCCATTTTTTTTGACAAAAGTGGAGATTCTAGGTTCCCCTCTACAAAAGATCGGTATTGATTATCATATCTATTTTTAGATGTACTCCGTTGGGTGCATGACTATAGGAATAAACAAAACAGTAAACAAACACGTAGAAACACATGTTTTGTTTTGCTTGTTAAGTTGAAACTAGTCACACAGGTATATAAGAAGATGTGAATAGTAATCAATATACTATTATGAGGCAATAAGGATAGATTATAATGTTAGAAAGAATAATTTGAGATAGGTTATAAGTCTGCTGAC